TTGTTTAAAGACTTTCAAAAATTCTCCAAAAAAATATTTTAAAAAGTTGGGAAATTTATTGATTTTTACGTTGTTTTTCAACCCCTTCGGCTAATAATGTTTGTTGTTTCTTTGTTAATTTATTTATTTTTATATTTTTGTATATTGCAATAATTACCTTTAATTTGTTGTTAATTTTCTATGGAAAAATCAATTAAATGGGATAAATGTGTTTGTTGTTGTTGCTGCTATTTATTTATAAAGATCACATATCACAGCATAGGCAAGCAAGTGTGGGAAATGGCCCATGTTGTGTTCGGGTTTTTTCTGCTTTTCAATTTAGTGAAATATTTATTTGAATGTGAATTTAAACTCCATAGATTAGAGGGTGATTAAATTGTAGAAATTATTGCACTTTTAATGCGCATTAAAATTTTAATTTGATACAAATTTTAGTATTTAATTTGTGTGTTAATGTAGACAAATATTTGCTTATATATATGGTGAGGTCATATGAATTCAAAAGGTCATAGAAGGAATGTCAATAATATCACATAAATAGCCATAATTTAAATTGGAGTTGAAGAAAAAATTTAACCAAAATATTAAAAATTACAATATTCTTCTTTTAAAATGTTATTTCAAAATTATAGACTTAATATATCGGGGGATATGGGGGCTAGAAAAGGTGTACGCAAAATTGTAAAGAATTTAGACATTTTGTGCACATGGAAATATTTTACCATAACTCTGGTATTTGATGAGTTGTGTTAATGTCTTTAAAGAACATTTTGAAGACAGGGCTTTGTTCTCTCGAAATTATGTCATTTCAAAAATATAGACCAAGTATTTCCGGAGTTATGCGGTTTAGGAAATGTTTACGAAAAAAATTTAAAGAACTTAGAAATTTTGTGCACTTGGCAACTTTTTTACCATAACTTTGGTATTTGATGAGTTCCATCCATATCATGAAAGAAAATTTCGAAGGAAGGATATGCGTCTTTCAAAATCAAGGTACTTCATAAATATAAACCAAGTATATCCGGAGTTATGGGGGTTAAAAAGGGGTTCACACAAAATTTTAAAAAATGTAGACATTTTTTGCACATTGAAATAATTTCCCATAACTCTGGTATTTGATGAGTTGTCTTAATGTCCTTCAAGAACATTTTGAAGACAGGTTTTCGATCTCTCAAAATTATGTCATTTCAAAAATATAGACCAAGTATTTCCCGAGTTATGGGGGTTAGAAAAGGTTACGCAATTTTTTTGAGAATTTAGAAATTTTGTACACGTGCAACTTTTTTATCATAACTTTGGTATTTGATGAGCTCCATCTATTTCATGAAAGAAAATTTCGAAGGCAGGCTATGCCTCTTTCAAAATCAAGTTACTTCATAAATATAAACCAAGTATATCCGGAGTTATGCTAACCCCCATGAGTTCACGCAAATTTTTAAAAATGTAGAGATTTTTTGCACATGGAAACTCTGGTATTTGATGAGATGTGTTAATATGCTTCAAGAACATTTTGAAAACAGATTTATATTCTATTAAAATCATGCCATTTTATAAATATGGACCAAGTATTTCCGGAGTTATGGGGTTTAGGAAATGTTTACGCAAAAATTTAAAGAACTTAGAAATTTTGTGCACTGACAACTTTTTCACAACAACTTTGGTATTTGATGAGATCCATCCATATCACTAAAGAAAATTTCGAAGGCAGGTTATAATTCTTTCAAAATCAAGTTACTTCATAAATATAAACCAAGTATATCCGGAGATATGGTGGTTAAAATGGGTGCACACAACATTTTAAAAAATGTTCACATTTTTTGCACATGGAAATATTTTCCCATAACTCTGGTATTTGATGAGTTGTGTTAATATCCTTCAGGAACATTTTGAAGACAGGTTTTTGTTCTCTCAAAATTATGTCATTTCAGAAATATAGACCAAATACGTCTGGAGTTATGGGGATTAGAAAATATTTACGCAGAAATTTAAAGAACTTAGAAATTTTATGCACGTGCAACTATTTTACCATAACTCTGATATTTGATGAGATCCATCCATTTCTTTAAAGAAAATTTCGAAGGCAGGCTATGCCTCTTTCAAAATCAAGTTTCTTCATAAATATAAACCATGTATAAAATGGGTTAAAAAGGGTTCACACAAAATGTTAAAAAATTTATACATTTTTTGCACATTGAAATATTTTCCCATAACTCTTTTATTTGATGAGTTGTGTTAATGTCCTTCAAGAACATTTTGAAGACAGGTTTTTGTTCTCTCAAAATTATGTCATTTCAAAAATATAGACCAAGTATTTCCGAAGTTATGGGGTTTAGAAAATGTTTACGCACAAATTTAAAGAACTTAGAAATTTTGTGCACATGCAACTTTTTTACCATAACTCTGGTATTTGATGAGATCCATCCATATCATTAAAGAAAATTTCGAAGGCAGCCTATAATTCTTTCAAAATCATTTAATTTCAAAAATATAGATGAAGTATTTCCGGAGTTGTGGGGGTTAGAAAAAGTTAACGAAAATTTTTAAAGAATTCATAAAAATTTGTGCCTTTAACATTTTTACCATATCTTTGGTATTTGATGAGCACCGTCCACACCATACAAGAAAATTTTAAGGACAGGTTATGTATCTTTCTAAATCAAGTTATTTCATAAATATAGACTAAGTATTTCCGGAGTTATGGGAATTAGAAAAAAATTACGCAAAATTTTAAAGAATTTCGAATTTCTATGCAAGTCGAAATATTTTACCATAACTCTGGTATTTGATGAGTTATGTTAATATGCTTCAAGAACATTTTGAAGACAGGTGTTTGTTCTCTCAAAATTATGTCATTTCAAAAATATAGACCAAATACTTCCGGAGTTATGGGGTTTTGAAAAGGTTACGCAATTTTTTTTAAGAATTTAGAAATTGTGTGCACCTGTAAATTTTTTTACCAAAACTATGGTATTTGATGAGTTCCATCCGTATCATGAAAAAAAATTTCGAAGGCAGGCTATGCCACTTTCAAAATCAAGTTACTTCCTAAATATAAACCAAGTATATTCGGAGTTATGGAGGTTAAAGTGGGTTCACACAAAATTTTAAAAAATGTAGATATTTTTTGCACATGGAAATATTTTACCATAACTCTGGCATTTGATGAGTTATGTTAATATGCTTCAAGAACATTTTGAAGACAGGTGTTTGTTCTCTCAAAATTATGTCATTTCAAAATATAGACCAAGTATTTCCCGAGTTATGGGGGTTAGAAAAGGTTACGCAATTTTTTTGAGAATTTAGAAATTTTGTACACGTGCAACTTTTTTATCATAACTTTGGTATTTGATGAGCTCCATCTATTTCATGAAAGAAAATTTCGAAGGCAGGCTATGTCTCTTTCCAAATCAAGTTACTTCATAAATATAAACCAAGTATTTCCGGAGTTATGGGGGTTAAAATGGGTTCACACAAAATTTTAAAAATGTAGAGATTTTTTGCACATGGAAGTATTTTCCCATAACTCTGGTATTTGATGAGTTGTGTTAATGTCTTTCAAGGACATTTTGAAGACGGGTTTTTGTTCTCTCAAAATTATGTCATTTCAAAATATAGACCAAGTATTTCCGGAGTTATGGGGTTTAGAAAAAGTTTACGCAAATTTTTAAAGAATTGATAAAAACTTGTACCGTTAACTTTTATCCCATATCTCTGGTATTTGATGAGCAACGTCCATACAATACAAGCAAATTTTAAACGCATGTTATGTATCTTTCTAAATCAAGTTATTGCATAAATATAGATCAAGTATTTCCGGAGTTATGGGGTTTTGAAAAAGTTTACGCAAAATTCGAAAGAATTAAGGAATTTTGTTCACTTGGCAACTTTTTACCATAACTCTAGTATTTGATGAGCTCCGTCAATACGATTGAAAATAATTTTAATGACATGCTATTCATCTTTCAAAATTAGTTTATTTCAAAGCTATAGACCAAGCATTTCCGGAGTTATGGGGGTTAGAAAAAGTTAACGAAAATTTTTCAAGAATTTATAATTGTTGTGCCCTTGGATATATTTGATAATATCTCTGGTATTTGATGAGCAACGTAAACACCATGTAAGAAAATGTTAAAGACAGGTTATGTATCTTTCTAAATCGAGTTATTTCATAATTATAGACAAAGTATTTCCAGAGTTATGGGGTTTTGAAAAAATTTACACAAAGTTAGAAAAAATTGAGAAATTTTGTGCACTTGGCAACTTTTTACCATAACTCTGGTATTTGATGAGCTGCGTCAAGGATTGAAGAGAATTTTAAAGGCAGGCTATTCATCTTTCAAAATTAGTTTATTTCAAAACTATAGACCAAGTATTTCCGAAGTTATGGCTCTTCAAAAATGACTACTCACAAATTTTCGAATATTTAAAATTGAATGTCCTTACAAATATTTTACTATAACTCAGGTATTGAATGAGTTACCTTAATATCGTTCGGGACTTTTGGGAAGCTAGGGTACTTCTCTTCTTGAATCCATTTATTTTTTAGAGATATTTTTAATTATTTCAAAAGTTATGGCCCGTGAAATATGGTTGCTTAAAATATCTTTAAAAGTTGAAAATTGAGATGCATGCATTTTTTGGGCTATAACTTTGGAGTTGGAGCAGATAGATCAAAATAATGAAAGAAAATATTGAAGAGTGTTCGTTCTTCTTTAAAAATCTGTTCAGTTTGCCGAGATAGTCTGATAATTGCGGAAGTTATGGCCTCTTAAGGGGCATTACGAAGAAAAAATTGTCTGTTTTGGAGTTTTCTAAGTTTTTTGCCATATCTCTTGGAATTGCTGCAGTATGTCCATAAAACTGAGTCCTGATTGAGGATATGGTGGCCTTAGTCTGAAATTGAATTATTTGTGCAATTATTTCCCTAAATATTTTATTTTAATATCTTCCATACAATAAACTAATTAAGTCCTCTTTTTCTTTGAAAAATCTCATTACAGCTTAATTACAGTTCAACGTGGTCCCCCCCTGCCCCTTGAAAAATCTCCAAGTCTCCCTCTGGCATCATTAAACATCTGTCTTGCATAAATCAAATTAAAATTCCCCTCTGGCCAATTTTTTAACTTCCAGAGGTCAAAAAATATGCATGGAACCCCCAATAAACCCAGTGACTAAAAGACGTAACCCCCATCCACCGGCCAAGTTAAGTTAAAAGAAAATCATGGTTAAACATAATGTGGAAATTGTGAAAACTGAAAATGGCATAAATGCGACGACGAAGGCGGCAACGAAACCCTCTGGGCAGGCGGCAAATGGAAATGCGGATACAGAGGATTTAAATGATGGCGGTGAAAATGGAACCACAGGTAAGTGTTCTGAAATGTGAGCTGGGTGGGGAGGGGGTTAAATTTGGTTGCCCCTTTTCGCAATGCAAAAATGGCCATTAAATCATTAGCTTAGGTGAGGGTTAATTGAATTATTAAATTGAGTAGATTATAGTTGGCGAACCTCACTTTTTCTCCATTTTTCTATCTGTTTCCTGGAAAACATAAAAAGGGGTCAAGTTTATGGGAATTTGTGCGGTAGGGTGGGGAAATGTGGCAGGGATAAAATGTAATAAATTAATTAAGAACAAAATTGTGGCGGCTAAACCGTTAACCCGCACACCAAAACTTATTTCCTCTACACGCAGCATGGCGTGCAATTTTTTATTTTGTTTTGCTGACTTTTTTTGTTTGCCTCGGAGCTTAGTTGATTTTTGGGGTGCCAGGGTCTCGTTCAGTGTTATGTCATGTTTAAACTGACAACAAAACCAGCAACTATAAAGTCAATTACAACAAGTTCACACCCTGGCCGAAACGAGGGTGGTATACTCAATTCGATTCGGATATCTCATAGCTTCCAATTTTTGTTATGCAACAACGCTATGGAGGCCATAACTTTTGAAATTGGAAGGCTATTTACAAAAAGTCAACGGATTTTGAAAAGGCACTATCTTGTCTTGAAAATATTCTTCAACAGCATTGATGTTGTTGCTAAAATACCCGAGATATCGGCGGAAAATCCTAGATATCTAAAGTTTGAAATTTTGTAAATATTTTTGGTAATCCCATTCCTGGGAACATAACTTCTGAAGTACTTGCAATATTTAAAAAAAGTCAACGGATTTTGAAGGAGCACTATCCTGCCTTGAAAATGTTCTTCAACAGCATTGATGTGGTTGCTAAAAAAACCCGAGATATCGGCGGAAAATCCTAGGTATCTGAAATTTTAAATTTTGTAAATATTCTCTGTAATCTCATTCCTGGGAACATAACTTCTGAAGTACTTGCAATATTTAAAAAAAGTCAAGGGATTGTGAAAGGGCACTATCCTGTCTTGAAAATGTTCTTCAACAGCATTGATGTGGTTGCCAAAATACCCGAGATATCGGCGGAAAATCCTAGGTATCTGAAGTTTGAAATTTTGTAAATGTTTTTGGTAATCCCATTCCTGGGAACATAACTTCTGAAGAACTTGCAATATTTAAAAAAAGGCAACGGATATTGAAGGAGCACTATCCTACCTTAGAAATGCTCTTCAACAGCATTGATGTGGTTACTAAAATACCCGAGATATCGGCGAAAAATTTTAGGTATCTGAAGTTTGAAATTTTGTAAATATTCTTTGTAATCCCATTCCTGGGAACATAACTTCTGAAATACCGGCACGATTTTAATGAAATAAATTAATTTGGATAGAGAAACATCCTCTCTCAAAAACGAGCGTGAACTGTAATCACGTAACTTGGCAAATTCCAGAGATATCGTATAATATATATCAAAACTCAAAAACTTGAAATTTTTTAAAATTTTGGGTAATGTTACTCTTTTGGCCATAACCTTTTCCAAAACCACTCAATCTCAGTGAAAATTGACAATTAAAGAAAAACATGCACTTTTGAAAATGTCTTCAAGTCATTTTTAGGTAGCTCGTTAAACACCAGAGATATGTTGAAAATTCCAAAATATCTTCATTCTTAAATATTCGAAAATTTTCTCCGTAGTCGAATTGCCCGGAATCTAATATCTGAAATAATGACAACATTTTTATGAAATAATTTTTTTTGGATAGAGGAGGATCTAGCCTTTATAAAATATTCCAATTATTCAAAATTTTAGTTAATAATTATGACTTAGCTCTTCAAATTCCAGAGATACCATGCAAAATGCAAACGAGCAAGATTCCCTATATTCATTATTACATGATCATAGCTCCTGAGATCTTTTGAGCAGCTTCATAATGTGACTTGATTTGGAAAGAGAAAAATCACGTCTTTAAAACTTATTGGCATTATTTGCTTATTTCTGTGAAAATAACAGAGTTATGGCCAAAAAATCATGAGCTTCTTAAATTTCAAATTATGTAATTATTTTGCGTAATGTTAATCTGGTGGTCATAACTTTGGAAATAATGGAAATATTTTTGTGAAATAAATTGATTCGGATAGAAGAATCACTGTATTCGAATATTTGTATGAATCACATTTGAGTAGCTCATCAAATTCCAGAGATATCTTGAAAATTTTCAATAAGTATAATTTTTTGAACATTTATAAAATTTTTTCCGATCGCAATCTGAAGGCCATATGTTTTGAAGTAATTGGAATATCTTTTCAATATACACTGATTGTGAAAGAGGAATATATACTCTACAAAATTTGTGACAATCACTACTCCTTAGCTCTTCAAATTCCAGAGTTATGGTACAAAATAATAGCTTGCGCAAAATTTATAATTTTTTGATAGGTTTTCATTTTTATTTTAAAAACCTCAAAACTTGAAAACTTATTGAAGTATCTTCATAAATTATATAATTTGGAAAGAATAACATCCTACCTTCCAAAATTTAGGCTCATTATGGTCCCATAACTCCGCAAATGCCAGAGATATATTCAAAAATTCACGACAATGCCAACTTGTTACTTTTGTTTGAAAAGTTTAATGTAGACTATAATTCAGTTGTAGAACTTAGTATATATTTCCCAAAATGGCTCAGACCTCCCTCGTCGTCTCCCCTATTTTTTCGACAACGCTCAACAAGTACCTCAAAGTCATGGTCACTCGCTCCCCCAACCCATACAACGAAAATATGACTGACAAACATTCCACCTCCCATGGCATGATAGCGAAAGTTCATGCTGCGTTTTTTTTTTTTTTTTGTATAAAGGCTTGTCCACCCTGCAGATAATAGACACGGTCATGATGATGATGATGATTGCGATGATATTTTATATTTGGAGGTTATAAATTTAGTTTGTATGGGGGAGCCGTAATGATGTTAGTAATTGTCAGGGTGTTTATTGTCCACGTTGCTGTGTTGGCTTTTGTTTTGAAATTCTCATGAATGTGAGCAATCAACACTTTGTGATTTGGGTAGAACTTTGACATGACAGAACAACTTGTGCAAAAAAGTAAGAAAATTTAACCACTTTAACTTTTTGCACAAAGAGGAGAAAGTTCACGAAACAAGTTCGCTTGATGAGGGCACTTGTCTTTGGAGGAAGTTTTTCGCTCCAAGGAATGGCTAGGGTATAAAGGGCTATGGCATTGGGAATTATATATTTTCGTTTGGGATATAGTTCCGAAAAAAAATCTGAAAATGGAGATGTTTTGAAATTTCCAGCTTCCGACAAAAATAATGGTCGAACAAAATTTACTCTTCCTATTTTTTTCACAAATACTCTGGAATTAGTTGAGTTACGTGAACGCAATAAAGGAAAGTATTGAAGAAGGATTCCTTATCTTTCAATACCACTTTTTTTCATAAAAATATTCCAACTATTTCGAAAGTTGTGGCTATTTGAATGTGACTACAAAAGTTCAAAATAAAATTGGAAATTTTGCGTTCACATAATTATGGTAGGATATCTCGCGAATTTAAAGAGTTACATAATTGTGATTCATTAATATTGTGTAGGCTAACTGCCGATCTTTCCAAAATAAGTTATTTCGAAAAGATACTGGAACTATTTTAGAAGTTAGGACGTCTAAAACCCGCATACGCAAGATTTTCAAAAATCTGAAAAAAATCTTGCTTGTTATAATTTATCCCATAACTTGCGTGTCTAATGAGTTACATTAAAAAAGCTAAGGAAGAACTGGAAGCCCCAGCTTTCTTTTTTTGAAATCAAATGGTTTTAGAAATATATTAAAATTATTTCAAAAGTTATGCCCTGAGAATTGTAAATACGAAAATTTTTAAAAAAATTCCAAAAAAAGGCTCATGAAATTATTTTACGATAACTCTGTTATTTGATGAGTTACATCTATTTAATTGCATGAAACATTGAAGATAGGGTTCTGTTCTACTTAAATCAAGTTATTTGAGATAAATATCTCAACTTATTCCAAAGTTATGGTCAAATGAATATGATTACGCAAAATTTTTGAAAAATCTAAAAAATTGTGCTCAGCATTTATGTTAAGATAACTTTAAAATTTCATGAGCTACATCCATGTAATTAGAGAATATATTGAAGAGGTTGACTTCTTCATTCAGAATCAGATTATTTCATAAAGATATTCCCATTACTCTAAGAGTTATGGCTTATATAAAATGCTTACGCAAAATATTCCAAATTGTTTATATTTAGAGCAACTAATAATATTTTACGATAACTCTGGTATTTGATGAGCTACATCTAAATAGTTGGAGAAAATATTGAAGACGTTGTATTATTCTTTCAGATTCAAGTTATTTCATAGTAATATTTTAGTAACTTTAAGAGTTATGGTTTATATAAAATGTTTGCGCAAAATATTGAAATTGTGTAAATTTCGTGCAATTGATAAAAGTTAACGATAACTCTGGTGTTTGAAGAGCTACGTGAATGTAGCTAATAAAAATATTGAAGACAGGATTTTTCTCTTTCAGAATCAAGTAATTTTATAAAGATATTCCCATTGGTTTAGAAGTTATGGTCATTAAGCTATTGTTACGCAAGATATTTACAATTTTTTATATTTTGGGTAATTGATAATATTTTACCACAACTCTGGTAGTTGTTAAGCTACATCATCCTGGTTTGAGAACATGTTGAAGGAGTTGTATTTTTCTTTCAGAATCAATTTCATTCATAAAGATATTCCGATTACTTTACGAATTATGGCCTATAGAAAATTATGACGGCAAATATTCAAAGAAATTATTTTTTGTGTTCTCCATAATATTTTACGATAACTCTGGAATTGAATGAGCTACGTAAATATATTTAATAAAAATATTGGTGAGAGGTACTTTTTCTTTCAGTGTGAAATATTTTTATAAAGATATTTCCATTAGTTTAGGAGTTATCGCCTTTTAATTATGATTACGCAGAATATTT